AAAATCGTACGCTACCTATTCTTACCTTTTCGGCTACATGCTCTTCCGCTTGTGGTCAGAATCAGAAGAAGTGGGTTAACAAAGTCTTTTCAACTATAACTCACAGGAACTAAAGAATGATATACAAGCTCAATTCCCTGAACACTCAGGGTCCCTCTCATTGTCTTTCTCTCGATACTCTTTGTCTCTCTTGGTCCCCCTCACTGTCCCCCTCACTCTCCGCCTCTGAGAGGGGACAACACTATTTCTGTGGAGTGTTAATCCCTTTTCTAACAAATGTTCCTTTTGACTCTAACTTTGATGTGTGTGCTGGCTGAAGTCTTATTCTCTCGGTGCAGGGCTTGGTCTCCCCAACACACCCCGCTTGGGGAACTCTGCCCTGTCCTGTGTCAAGACTGAATCCTGCTTGCGACTTAGGAGCCTTGCCTTGCCCTCCCACAAACTAAGATTAAGTCCCCAGCATTATGTACATTTTGACGGACACCCATCAACGTTCCCATCATAAGCTGGTTAAGAGATGAAGATGTAGAAAGGACTTGGGAAAGGTGCTGTGGACTGAATGTTTGCGTCCCTCCATATTCATATGTTGAAGTCCTAACCCAGCAACGGGATGGCATCAGGAGGTGGGGCCTTTGGCAAGTGATTAGGTCGTAAGGGTGACGCCCTCGTGAATGGGGTTTAGTGCCCTCAGAAGAGGCACAAGAGCCCACTCCAGCTCCCTGTACTCCACCGCGTGAGGATGCGTGAAGATGGCAATTTGCCAACCAGGACTCAGTCCTCGCCAGACACTGAACCTGCCCGCACCATGACCTTGGACTTGAAATAAATGCTCAGTTACAGCAGCCCGAGCTGACTAGGACGGAGGCTCCTGGCCCCAGAGCTGCAGTAGCGGGCTCTGGTCACCGCCAAACCATTTTGCTTCAGCCCCTCTGTGACCACAACCCTGGAGATGGGCCCAGAGAGCTGTTTCTGCCTTTAAAACCAGTAACACTTCACTGCTCCAAATTATGTACAGATTACTTATTTTCAGACCTTCCATTTAAACCATGCTATGCCTATTCCTGCTTGATTTTAAACCTATCCTTCTTAAGGCAAAGCGACACTGAGGGGCGAGCAGGCCCTAGGCGCAGTGAGTCCACGTGATCGGCCCGTGAAGAAGTCCATCTAGTGCCGCCTAACAGTGCGGCTTCCAGTGTCCATTTCTTGATGGGCAAAAACAGGAAGTTAACCATTCTGTTAGAGGCTGACAAATACAGTTCGCCATTGTTAAGTAGAGGCAGCCCTACTAGAAAACGGCTCAAATCAAATGTTCTAGCCCAAAGTCACCATGTGTAACTGGGAACAACTTTATACACATTGTCACCTCACTGGACATGAGGCATGTGTGGTAAGTCACTTATCTTGAGCGAGGTATAAAGAAATGAATCTGCTCAAGGCTAGGTTACCCAATGGACACTTGAATGACAACAGTTCACCTGCTTTCTATCAGGTGGACTGTCTGCACCTGCCCTGTGGTGCAGACCTGCGAGGCCCCGAGCCTGCGCTGTCTCTGCTGCCACAGACCCAAAACCCTCCTGAAGAGCACCCCGGTCCTCCCCGTGGATACAAGCCAACTTGTAGACAGAGCTGGCTGGCCTTGCACGCAGGCACGTGCCCACAGCAAGCTGCCCCACTTCTGGAAGAAACAGTTCCAAAGGGGGCATGCTAGTACAACCTCCACGCTGATCTCAACTGCCAGAGAAAATGTTAATCCACTCTGCTCAGGGACTGATAAAGCTCCGGCCACACAGAGGGCTCGTCTTCCAACCCCTGGGGAGCCAAGCCACAGGCAAGCCACAGGCCAGCTGACATTTGCTGAGGCCTCCCTGGGACTCCTCAAGCCACACACCAGAGGACACACTCGTTCCTGGCTGTTTAGAAGCCCCCGCCCCAAGAAAACTATTTCGAGGGCTTCACACTTAGGGCCTAAAACTCATCTGAGCTATGGGATAATCCTGCCGGCCTATAAGGTTTGAAAAGTCCCATGAAACCACCCTAGTGTGTTGATGAGGTCACCAGCCACCACATTACACAAATGTCTTCCTGGTGAGGACCCAATGAAGACACTTCCTTCAGGTCTAAGATCCAGGAATACCAGCACTTCCGCTGAGTAAACAATTTAGTTCTGTTTACAGTAACTGATCACATAAATTGCCTGGCCTGCTGGAGAGATGCGTCAAACTTGTGGCTCAGCTGAGAGGTGTACGAGGTTTTATAATCATGGCTTTTATGAACTAGCCTTATCCCTGCCTTCACCTTACTTTTCTATTCTTATTTCCCTTTTGCAATTTTTAATTTTATTTCACCATTTTGGAATTTCTCCCCACAAACCCATTCAACTTATTTTTGGAACAAGGAAAAGTATAGTAATCCACTTTCACAAGTATTATAGCTAGAAGGCAGGAAGCCTGCCACACAACACAAGGTGGGCCCCCCAAGAGAATACAGCCCCCCTGCAAGGATCATCCCTGCTTTCCTGTCACCTGTGCCCACGTCTCATCTGAGAAAGGTCATGAGAGTTGAATGTCAGACCTCACCTGGAAAACTAGCAGGTATTAAGTTCGTATCTTCAAATTTCCTATCTTTCAGCCACTTCCTCAGCTGGATAAATTCAGGCTTGTAGCTCTCATTCACTAACCAAAAGAAAGAAAAAATAGTAATTAAAATCACTATTTAATAACATTCCATCTAAAAAGAAAATCTCTGATGAACAGTCTCAGTCGGTGTTATGAAAAAGAATAAATTTTAAAATGCATAATGTAAACTAAAAAAGAAAAACCGCATTATCATCTCAAAGGCAGGAAAACCAACGGATAAAATCTAACATTAATTCCTCATAAACACTCTCAGCAAATGAGGATAGCAGTGAACTTCCTCTACTAAAGAAAATATAAAAGAAAACCTGTAGCTGACAGACTGAATAATGAGAAACTGAGTGCTTTCCCTGTGAGATCAAGAACAAGGATGGCTGTTCTCGCCACTTCGATTCAACACTATACTGGCTGGCCTTAGCCAGTGCAGTAAGGGAAGAAAAATAAAAAAAAGAATCTTTTATGGGTTGAATTGTATACCCCAAAATTCATATGAAGTCCTAATCCCCAGTACCTCAAAATATGACCTTATTTAAAGACAGGGTCTTATGATAAGAGAAAGAGCTCTTTGGAGTTGCTGCCCTGGCATTTTTCGGTGTGACACCCCGCTCACACCCAGTGTCTGGACTTTTAGATAAAGACCCGAGCTTAGGATTCCCACCATTCCCACAGGTTCCCACTCTGCTTTTCCTGAGGCACCTTTTAAAATAACCACCTAGAGTTGAGTCCAAGAAAAGGCAAGGACTGCTGACTACCTTGTAAGCATAGCAGGTGCCTGCTACCCTGATCCCTACCTCCTGCTCACTCCTGACAGGCGGCAGAGGACGCCCTTCCCCCGACTCACTGCATCCATTTCTGGGATCTGTAACAAACCCTGTGACTTTACATCTTTTGTGTAAATGAATTGAAACCGCACTTTCAATCAAAATCGGCCCAGATGCTGAGGTGCCACCTGCCAACCCCGTGTGGGTGGCTTGTGCCTCCTCATTTGGCAGGTCATAACCTGCATGTTCCTCCCACACCGCTATGGTCCTCCAACACGTCTTTACAGGAACAGTCAAGTTAAAACAAGGTCATGGGGTGGGCCCCAAAAATGACAATTTAGACACAGACACGCATAGAGGGAAGATGACTGAAGAGACAGAGAAAGAGGACAGCCCTCTACAAGGCGAGAAGGCAGGCCTGGAACAGATCCTTCCCTCACAGGCTTCGGAAGGAACCAATGTTGCCGACACCTTGATTTTGAACTTCTAGCCTCCAGAACTGAGACAGAGAACTTTACAGCAGTAAATGCCTACGTGAACAAAGAAGACCCAATTAAAAGGCAGGCAAAGGATTTGAATAGATATTTCTCCAAAGGCGGCATAAAAATAGCGAATGAGCACATAAAAAAAAGTTCAACATCATTAATCATTAGGGAAACACGAATCGAAACGACAGTGGGTATCACTTCACACCCATCAGGATAGCTATCAAAAAAACTGAAAATAAAAAGTACTGGCGAGGATGTAGAAACTCTGCAACTCCTGCGCACCGTTTGGGGGCAGGGTGCAAAATGGTACAGCTGCTGTGGAAACCTGCATGCCAGTTCCTCACAAAGTTAAAAACAGAATTATCATATGATCCAGCAATTCCAATTCTGGATATATATCCAGATTAGAAAGCAGGGAATCAGAGATATTTGCCCATCATGTTCATAGCAGCATTATTCACAATAGTCAAAAGGTAGAAGTAATTTAAATATTCATTAACGAATGAATGGATAAAGAAAATGGGGCGGCGGGGGGATGTATATGTGTGTGTGTATGCGCATGTGTGTATGTATGTATACACACATGTATATGACACATGCTATGATATGAGTGAATCCTAAGGACATTATGCTGACTGAACTAAGCCAGTCACAAAAAGACAAGTACTGCGTGATTCCACTTATTTGAGATATCTAAATAGGCAAGTTCCTGAAAACAGAAAGCAGAATGGTGGTTAGCAGGGTCTCGGGAGAGAGCGGAGTGGGGAGTTATTACTTAATGGGTGTAGAGTTCCAGTTTTACGAGATGAAAAGAGTTCTGAAAATTGGTTGCAAACAAGGTAAGTGTACTTAACACTACCGAACTATACTTTGGGAAATTTTATGTTATACGTATTTTACAACAGTTAAAAATAAAAAAATTTTTAAAGGTCTCAAATCAATAACCTAATAGAGAAATATACCTTACTTATAGGTCAGAAATTTCAATATCTTTAAGATGTCAAATTCTCTCCAATTTGATCTATAGATTCAACACAATCCCAATGAAAATTTAAACAGGCTTTTCTGTAGAAACAGACAAGGTAATCTAAAATTCATATGGAAATGCAAAGGAACTAGAATAGCCAAAACCACTCTCAAATACTGATTTCAAACCTTATAAAGCTACAGTAACAAAGACTGTGTGATATTGTCAGGATCAGTAGAATAGAATAAAAATTCCAAAAACAGACTCGCACACATAAGGATAACTTATTTTTTACAAAGGTGCAAAGGCAATTCAATAGAGAAAGGATAGTTTTGTTTTGTTTTGTTTTGTTTCAATAAATGTTGCTGCAACAACTGGATCTCCATAAGCAAAAGAAATGAACTATCCACATTTGGACCATATCTAAAAATTAACTCAAACTGAATCAGAGTTAAATATAAAAACTAAAGCTATAAAACTTCTAGAAAACAGGAGAAATTTTTGCAACCTTGGATTAGGCAAATTTCTTCCATAAAACAACAAACTGATAAATTGGACTTCATCAAATTTTTAACCTCTGCTCTGCAAAAGACACTGTTAAGAGAATGAAAAGACAAGCCACAGAACGATTGATACACTGTTAAGAGAATGAAAAGACAAGCCACAGAATGATCGATAATATTGACAAATCACATATCTGATAAAGGACTTGTATCCAGAATATCTTAAAGAACCCTGAATAATCAAGAAAAAAAAACTAATAAAAACATGGGCAAAACATGAGTTAACCAAAGACCGTCTATATAAACGGCAAATAGGCACACTAGTCATTAGGAAAATACAAATCAAAACCACAATAAGATAGCACTTCACACCTATTAGAATGGCTATAACCAAAAAGACAAGGCAATAACAAGTGTTGACAAGAATGTAAAGTAGATGGAACTCTCATAAACTGTTGGTGGAAACAGGAAATTATACAACCACCTTGAAAAACAGTTTGGCAGTTACTTTAAAAGCTAAACATACACCTACCATACGATCTGGTCATTCTACTGCTAGGTATTTGCCCAAAAGAAATCATGTGTCCATGCAAAGGCTTGTACACAAATGTTCATAACAGCTTTACAATAGGCAAAATATGAAAACAAGCCAAACGTCCATCAACAGGATAAACAAATCATGGAATACAGTCAGCAATAAAAAATGAACTAGATATACACAACAAAAAATCTCAAAACAACTGTGCTGAGTAAAAGAAGCTGATAATAAAGAATGCATACTATATGATTATATAAAACTATAAAATGCAAATAAATCCTTAGTGACAGAAAGGAGACCAGAGGCTGCCTGAGGATAGTGGAAGGGAGGGTACAAAGAGGGGCAAAACGAAAGGATAACAAAGGGAAACGAGGAAACTTCCTGAATGACGGATGCGTTCATTATCTGGATTGTGGTTATCATTTCCTGTGTGTATGCATATGCCAAACTATCAAATTATACACCTTATATATGTGACATTCATTGTATGTCAATTATACCTCAATAAAACTGGATTTTTTTAAATATTTGATCCAAGATATAAGGTTCCCAAAATGTTATCATGACCTAGAGAATAGATTTTACAGTAAGAGCGGCTAATAAATGACTATTTAAAGAGCAAATACTATACACACGGCACAACACTGACCACTGTGGGAAACGTTCAATGTGTTCTTCACCCTCAAAATGCTGACATCTTAGTTGGGAAACAAGATTTCCATGAAAAACAACTGGAAAACCAGTAGGTCCTTAAGAATAATACCCAATAAGCACAATAACAAAGGGTGACGTTAGTGGGAACTGGAAAAGGCATTACCAAGAATAAGATCTCAGCTCAGTCTTGAAGGTTAGAGAGAAAATGAACAAGCAGGGGGAAGGAAAACGGATGTTCTGGGATGCCGAAGAAGTATTTTGAGGAATGGCAGAGGTAGAAGTGTGTGGAGTGTGCTCAGGGAATGGTGAATAGAGAACATTTCGAATGCACAGAATGGCAGGGTGGAGCCACTCATGCAGGGAGCTGATATCAGCACAGGTATCATTAAAAAAGGAAAGAGCATCCCTGAAGGCTCCTGAACAAAAAAAGTGACATGGAAACAGTCCCTTGGAAAAGTTAGACTGACAGCAACAAATGGAACAACCAGCTGGGAAGCAAAACAAAGTTGTAGGTAAACCAGCAAAGAGCCAAGTGAAATCACCCATGGGTAGAACAGATAGGGAGACGTCAACCTAAGAACGGTCAGGCAAGATTTAGTAGGATACTGGCTACAGAGGGCGAAGAGGACAACAGTCGCAAGGATTACCCCAGATGGTGCTGACATGCATGGGGTCAACTACGAGAAGTGTTATTAATTTTTATCAAAAATAACAATTGCATTCATGTAGGACTTTCCAGTTGGCCAAGCACTTTCACATACAGTATGTGGTCCAAACTGGGTTACACCGAACTTGAACTAATGAATTTCTAACCAAACATTGTTATCTTACAGGTAATTAGAGGAGAGAGTCAGGACCAAAAACAGAAACCTGGGAGTCATCTTCAGAGAAGACATAGCTGAAGCAATGAGAAATACCTTCGCATATTCCCACGAGGGTTAAAAAGAAAATAATGGCACTATTAAAAAAAAATGTATTAAGAAATATTCTCTATGAACACCACCCATATGCCTTTGAGAAAAGTTATGTGCCTCTGTTAATACCAAGCAACGTAAGATTACTTTTTTCATCACTGGCACCAAAAAAAATCAAAACTGTACCTCCTCTTGATTCAAAACTTTTGGAGAGCT